ATTAAACGATAGTCGAAGACTATTTATTCTCTGCTAATGAGAGAACCAACGTTCGCCGGAGGAAACTTAATCAGCAGCACGTTGATTAATGGCTGCAATAATTATACGTATTATGCAGAGGATGCAGGTGTTTCAACACAAGAAAATCGTCTTCGCGACTCTCATGATACATTGCGCGGTACTCGGAGATTTCCGAAACGATCGTCGCCGTTCAAGTTCAGTGTACACGAATTGCATCAGGCTCGGTCGAACAATATCTCCTCGGCTATGCTTCCGGGTACACCGAAAGCCGATTAACCGATTGTCTCTGAAAACGAGCGGCTCGAGTGTTCCTCGAATCCCGTCGATTCGACGGTTAGCGTAAAATCAAAAGTCGATTCGTCCCGTTCAGATGCAAATGGGAGACGCACGCGCGTGGATCGGCAAAGCGTGGGAGCGGGTATCGAATAGCTGGCTTTTGAAATTGAAAGTCAAGACGGTTGTTATATACTATTTCATACCTCGCTCCTCGTTCGTTATTCCGTTCTCGAGTTACCGTCGGGTTCAACGGAGAATGGCGAACGTATTTCAATCTTCCGAGAGGTAATAACAACCTAGATGCAATAATAATAAAGACGGCAATAAGCGTTTTATCGCATACGACCGGACCGACCGCAAAAAGTTTAAAGGCTAGTGAAACGGAGATACAGAGGACATAAAACGCGGTGCGCACGGTAACGCGTACGAGAGTATAGAGTCATCAATGAATGAATAAGGTAAAGGAATCCTACGAGTTGACCAAGATCGTTTAACCGGAGCCGCGGAGGATCATCGGCGCAACGGGAATCGAACGATGACAAGTCACTCGCCCCGAAATTATGCAATTCGGCTGGATCGCGCGGAACAGAGAACGCGATCGGAACAGACCGGTCATGGAATTATCGCCGATCTAAACTGGCGAAGGTCAGCGAAGAGAACCGTGGCCGTTCCTTAGCCGGCATTCAATGACAACGTGTCCCCATCCAGTCCCCATTTAAGTGCCCACTAAATTCAATCAAGTTAATTAGACGATCGATCAAATATTTCAGCGACACGGACATAGAGAGAGACCCGATCGGCTGTTGACTCGTCGCTTCCCGTTTCATCGTTCCCTTTCCGTATGCGTTTACAGGGACAATCGGAGAGTTACTCGGTCCAGCGATCGGTCGCGTATCCTTTGCGGTGGAGTCGCACAATGCGAATACAATCACCGTGCACGTAGCCTTTCATCGCGAGGCTCGACCGGCAGCCAACACCGGAATGAGCCGTGCAACGCGCGTTCGATCGTTCCCGGAGATCCTTTCGAACCGGATTCAGCAGCGGGCGTCTCAGGACGCACGCGACTTCCGCGATGGAGCTGACCTTACGCGCGATCTTGGAATCTCTATCGCGGCTATTCGATCGGACAACTTTACATTTTGTCGGCTAATTTGTTACGGATAACGTCCAACTAACTTCTACCATCTGAGATCGCGTGAAGATAGGGCGCGCGTGCACTCGACTCGCGCGTGTGTGCCACCGGCGTTGAAAACCATGCGATCGTTCCTTCGACGAACACTGAACTTGGCTACTCCGGCGAACAGACAATCGACGGATGCTTCGGTGTGCCGAAGTTAAAATCAACGGACAACGTAACGTATTTCAATTGTTCCTCCCATTATCGATAACGCGTGAAACTGCGAACGTCTATGAATAGCTGGCAATTCGTTAACCGGGTGATCCATCGGCCCTGACCCCTTACAGCCTGTCCGGACGCAAATCCGTTCTGGCAAGAAGCGTCTCGAAAGGATCGCAGGATTGATTCATCGACGGCGATTAACTTAAGAGTTATTATCGACAAGCACGTCGCAGCAAGCCCACCGCTTCGACAGGTAGTCACGTTTCCGATAGATATAATTATTCATCGTCGGGCGTTCTGCGCGCGGCGCGAACCTGGATCGCTTGGAAAGGCGCAGAAGGATACACGATATATCGAACGCGCTCGTTATTTTACGCTCGCAGCTGGCCAACCAAGTTGGCTTAAGTTACCGCCGAACTGCCGCTTTATGTTTCGCCCGGAACGAATCGGCGAACGAGGGAGAAGGAACGACATTTCGGATCGAATCGACGGAAACCGCACACACGAGAAATCGGCGCGGCGGTATATTCCAAACGGCTCGCCTAAATGCCGGCGGCAGCGCGATTCTCGACGGTAATAGAAAAATCCCTCTAATCTAATCGGATTCATTAAGTCGGCAGCCGTTAATTAGTTCTCGTTCTGTTCGCGATGAATTTTTTTCACAGCGGATATTTTCCGTTCTCGTTTCTTTATCTCGGAACTGTTCATATCCTCCAACGATTCCAATAACGATTCCCGTGATCGCGATCGTTCGAATACGTTTCATCGTGACGTAACCACCCACCCGTTAAGAAGTCCCGGTACACGGTCCGCGTGTAAGCAAATGATTCCGTGCCGAGCTGACGGAAGGCGGTGCCAGTTCCGTAAGCGGCAAACCAATCGGAACAAAGTACACCTTCCCCGGCATTAAATGAGAGATAATGAAATGCAAGTTATCGCCTCGAGGTGAGCCCAAGGAATCAATCGGCTTCGTTTTCAGAAGTTACGAGCCCATTATCCGCCGAGTAATTTCTTCCTTCTTCGCCGTTCGAACCCCTAACGCGTATCCTTCCCGCGGAATGCTAGAGGCCGCCGAGGACACATGAAAAAAATGCGAACGACAACTGTACGAGAACGGAAGAAAAAACATAGAAAAAGGAAGTTACCCGATGATTGGCGGCGACCTCGATTCCGAGCGAAATTCATCGTCAATTCCTATACACATCCGAGCCGCTGAAAACGTGCGCGCGCGAGCTCGGAATAACGCAGGATCGAGGGACACGTCACGGGTGTTCCATTATTCTCGATCTCCTTGGAATAAACAATGCAACGTGGCCGCCGTAATAAATCTACTCGACGCCAGATACTACCTATGCCCGTATTTAATTACCATTGATCCGCCCCTACTGTGACCGCGTCGCCGAGCTTTCCTCGTGCTCCGCGCGAAGATATTGCACGGGATACGCCTTCTCGGTGCCGATCACCGATCTTTCCTCAAGTACAACCTGTTCGCCGAACGGGACCAAGCGTTTAATCATTTACTTCGTCGACGAGTTGTAAAACATTGTCTCTAACGGCCGTGAACTCTTTAACCGTTCTCTAAACAATTGCAAAATCATTCGAACGATCCACCTTAGAGCCGGCCTTTGACCCTTTCGTCTTTGAATAAGTAATTTTGTTCATTAACACTTTACTTACTGGGTCCAACGCCGCGTATATGGCAGAAATTATTTTATTATTTTCAAGCTGTCAGCCATAAGCAAAGACCCCCGTGCGGTAGTTTTCCTTCGTCTTTGAGCCTTTCTCCAGCTTTCCGGTAATTTAAAATGTCCGCGGCAGCTATGCGCGCAATTCGAGACGAAGGGATCAAAGCCACCCCTCTCGCATCGCGGTGTCTAACCGTTTTCCATTCTCGTTTTGTCGTTCGCTCGCAGGACTCGTCATCCGCGCGACAAATCCGGTTGACGAACACGCGTCCAATTAGCGGTCTGAATCGGGCTTGTTCGTTAAAGACGCAGCACTTCTGTCGACGACGTTCGAACGACGCGCGAAACAAGAGTGTCCCGTTAACGGTGAAAGGGTTAAAACGTACCAAGATTTATTCCGTAGGTTCTGCTCCAAACGGAAAGTAATATTAAATTCTCCTTCGTCAGTTTTTTTTCTGAACGGTACTCGCGGCGTGGCTGGGCGATTAATATTGCAAAAGAGTCACATTTCTCAAATAACTTATCCGCGAACGGAATGGGGGTAAATTCTGCTCGACTCACGTGCATAAGAAAATACGTCGTACGCGACTGGGTTTCGTTTCCATCGCGTTGCAGCTTAGCGAGTAACAATTACCCGAAGCATCAGCCGGGGGGAAAAAGAGGGAGAACGCGAATGGTTATTTACGCGAATTCTCTCGTTGTTATCTCGCCGGCCGTGTTTTCACTCGACAGCGCGCACGTTTCCCTGGAACAAGATCCGAAATAAAAATTTCTGTTCGAGCACCGCGAGCGATCCCCGTTGCAATCGAGGCTAATCTCGTTTGGCGTTCGTTCGAACCCGGCGTTCGCGCTTGTTTTAGAGTTCGTATCCGATGGAAAATTCATGCGGAACGAATCGCGAGACGATCCGGCCAGCCGAAAGAACGCGATCGATCGCGTATTTCGTTCGTTCGGCGGGCCGGAGATTGCGGTATCAATATTTAATTACGTTTATCGAGCACGGCGAGGAAAACCGCGGTTAAACCCTTCGCGAACGGTATCCGGCCGTGTTTTGCGTGAAAACTTCGCTGGACAGTATTTCTCTTCGCACCGATTATGCAGTGGAATAATCGTTTCCGCGTTGTACACATTCTCGCGTGCATTCCAGGCATTCCATCGGCGTGTCTCGCGAGGAATTCGTCGCGAAGAGTCGGAAAAGGAAAGGCGAGAAAGAGGATATTCGCGCGAGAGAGCGGCGAAAGAGAGTGTAAGCAGATTACGAGGAGCGAGTGAGATTAATGAAGATCGATAGCGAGTTCTCAAACGTTACAAGTATCCGTCGACTGGAACGTCTCGACCCTCGGTCCCGGCGAGTACCATCATCCCCTTTCACGAGCGGCGCGATGGAAAAGTCTCGGTCACCTGACAGGCCAGGTGACGGGTTCACACTTACGATCGATGGTACGCAGATGGTCGAATGAAATCGAGGCAGGTATTCGATGTTCGTTCGACCCCCTCCGCCTCTTCCGACGAGCCGTTCTCCGTCACCTGTACGTGACACTCGGCGAGCTCGGCCTCGCGAGTCCAGATATCGGAACGGCGAGGCTCGTTGCGAATGCACGGCTCGATCAGTAATTCGGTACTCATTTCGTTTGTAGATTCTCAACGGAGTCACCGGTCTCCGCGGACCCGTCCCGAACGGTGGGAGCCACACGAGGAAACGAAGGGACCGTCTCGCGGAGAATCGTACTCGAGATTCCGTCCGGAACACGTTACCTCACTTTACTACACTTGGAATACGTGCGTACCTCCGAAAGCGGAGCGTGTCACTCGAATTGCCGCGCAGACACCGCCGGTTCGAAACGATTTTCACTGGCCAACGCGAAGACCGCGCAATAACCGCCGTAACCTCTGCCTCCCGATGCCAGCCGCCCAGTGCGGACCTCGAGAATGCTTCCTTTGTTATCGTCCGCGTGTCATCGTTATCGCCGCGCATTCTTCTGCAAAACCGAGGGACGTTCAAACGCGGCGCGTGCACAGCTACGGACGCACGAGCGAAACGGCATTCGGAACAGGGGTGTAGACACCGCTCGGGATTTGTCCGACAGTGGTTGTAGCTTTAACACGGCAAACGCCGTGTCAGTCATCGATGACCGACGCTTTTGAATTGCTTGAAAATCGTCGTGACATGCAAGATAACCCATGTCGAATCTTTAATAATGTAGCTAAGTTGATAATAGAGCAACGCAAGGACTGTAACGCTAAGTAATTAATCATTGTTTCCGCTTCTCTTTGCTACAAAAGAATGACTTTACGGAACGACGGTCAAGATTTTCATGGCGCTTGACGCGTTAAGGGACAGAGCGTCGCGTCGCATCTACTCTTAATAACAACAATGCGATTTCCTCGATCGGGGTAAGGTACTCGCTGCTATTTTCGTGCGAGACGCGCCACCGATTCGTCCGAAAATAGCCTGGAAAGGATCGAGGCGAGCGAGCGAGCGAGCAAGCGAGCATTGCCAATGTCGCCGGTATATTTACAACGCGACGATGGTCATTCGGCGAGATGAAAAACTGGGTCTCCGTGGTGGTCGTCTTCGCGTCGGGGCGTCCTCGCCGGCGGAACATTCGTCTTCGGGCGCGACGCTCTTACGGCGATCCAATAAATCCGGTGATCGGATTATCGTAACACGCGGGGCAATCGATTTATCGTCACGCGGAAGGAAGGAAGTTGCACCGATGAACCAGTGCGGGCCGGCGTGCGCGGCGCTCAACAATGTTCGAGGGACGGACGGCTAATGCTCGGCGACGCGATAAAACAAGGAGCGCGAATAGAACGTAATACGTAGTCGAAGGAAAAATGTTTATCTACTGTGCTGTTATCGTCGTTCGGCCGTGCTGCGTTTACGGGATTTTCCAGTCGGGGCGACCGCGCGCATTTCTAATCAACGATGCACGCAACGTGGAAAGTGTATCGGCCGATTCGCCGCGCGGAGACTTTCGACGTACCTACCTGGGGAAGCTGCCTCGTCGATGGTGCTCAATGACTTTTCGTCGGCGAATCGAAAGAACGAAACCGCGATCGCGTCCCCTTCGGTCTATCGCCAACTACGCACTGCGAACGCCGGAGGACAAAGTTCGAGCAATAGGGTAGGGTCATTACCATCCGGCAACGTAATATCCCTTCGTCGACGGCCCATGGAAAGGGTAACCCCGAATCTATTTTCCCATTGAATTTCATTAGATAGCGAGATCCGATGCTTATTAGTAATTAGGCCTTCAACCGGGCCCAGCATCCACTGCCCTCTTTGACCCTAACAACATTAACCAATTCAATGTTGCTCCGATCGAGCGCGTCGATGGCATTCAACTCCTAAATCACGGTCCGCCACCGGCTCTAAGTAGAACTTCTCGCGGAAATCTCAATTACTTGGCTCGTACGAGGCCCCGCTAAAGGGGTTGGCGAGCACCGTTTAGGTGTCAATTGAACGGATTTACGTTTTCAGCCGATAACGACACGCCTCGTTGATCCTCTTAAATCGAAAATTTGATGCGGCTGTCGCTGATCGTTACCGACAACCTCGCAACCATTTTTTTTTCTCTCCCTCTCGAGGCGGATTACGAGGTTCTAGATAATTACAGTCGCAACGCGCGAAGCACACATTGGCTGCCACTCCGGTCGCGCATAATTGCTGGGAATAGTTCGCAATCACTTACCTCCGTTACTGTTATTAGAAAAGGATCGTAACGGGCTGCCAGATCGCAGGAGGGCGCGACAAATCTCCCGTCTGGACGATGACGAAACGCGGCGACGACATTTCCGTGCGGGGACATTCTATTAAATGATTAAGACGTCCGATGGGTTTGTTTTTGCCGGGTAATTGAATACGATACGAAATTTAATTACACCTTCCGTGGTGCGCTCTAGTTGAACCATGCGGAACGAGGGGCGTCGGTTACGTGTCGCCGCGGAGATTTATGATCGAACCGTGATCTACGGCGCCTTCCTGCGTGGCCGAAGCCAATCACGGTGGTGAAATAATTGATGCGTTTTATAGGACGCGATTCGGATACGCTTTGGTAACTCCGTGTGTTTATGTACACGTTTCGTCCCGTTTTTTTTCCTCGCCATTCGTGTCACTTCTCTACTTAATGATCCGTTATTATACCCTGTGCCACATTTTTCCGTTTCTTCGAGCCGTCGTAATTTCTTTATACACTCGACATTCACTGTAAACCCGTAATGATTATTATTATTATTATTGTTATTATTATTCCGCCTGAATTGCGAAGCTACCAGAAAAAATGATAAACATTGCGCGGTTGTGTAACGCGTCAGCGTCGAAAGGAACTTTAAAGGCCTCGCGCACAGTCATAAAGTGATCACATTAAACTCGAAATCTGGAAATATAATTTGCACGATGAATCGTCCACAGTTCTCGCCACGTGGCCGTTGAACGGATTAAAAAAGAATCGAGTACAATCGTTCCACTTTCAATGTGCGTCACTATTTTCTTTTGTTTCCCGCTTTAATGAATGCCTGGTACAGATACCCCGTTACGGTCTTTACCGAACGATCCATGAATGCCGCATTGATTTATCCCGATCCGCGGCGATCCACGAATCCGCTAACGTAGTCGGTCATATTTTTCTGCCCGATAACTCCGCCGGCTCATGAATCTTTTATGTCGGGCTCCTTTTTTCAATTGCAAACCGAGCCCGACTGCCGAGTCCTTCTGAATCGATCGTTCCGCCGATAAACGAGACGAAGCTGGAGAACCCGTCGCGCCTAGGAAACAAACCCCGAAAGTACATCCTCGGAGTTGCTCGAAGAATCAGCACCGATCTCCAATACCGTCGACATTTCAGAGCGTGTCCTCCGACACAAATTAACGATAAAATTCACACCCATTACCATCGTTAATCGCTACCTTGCACCGACAATGCGATTTACGCGCGATATCATCAAGGTTAACCACAATTTTCCCCGTTAATCTGTTTCTTTTTCGTTTTTTTTTCGCATTTTTCCTGTGACCCACAAACGTAGAAATTACTGGTTACCGTAAGGGAACGTGAAACCGAATAGGTACGTACGCACATGCACGTATCCCTCCGAGCGTTCCTCAACGGTCGGCGAGCTTTCGTCATTGCCAGGGTGCGACAAGCTGCACGGCGTGTCCTTCGTGGTTTCGTTTGTCGCAATTATACGAATCGATATTCACGGTACATTGTGATCTCAGTTTAAGATGGATCTGCACGATTGCGCGGCATTATCGTTGTTGAAAACCAGTCAGGCCGGGTAATCTGTAAATCATGAGGACTTATGTAATCGCGATTAGAGATGAGTAAAAGTGATTCGAAGCTGATCCGATTGGAGGATATCCTTGCAGGCGGCTAAGGAAACGAAGGCATGATTACAGGAGTACAGGATGAAGGAAGACGGGAAAATCCGTGTCCTCGTAAAAGGCAAGGTTCACTCGTTCGGAAAAGGGTGCTCGTCTAACGTGACATTCTAGAAGCTGCGACCGAGGACAGGTATTTTCGGAAGTTGTCCTATCCCGGACGACTTCGTCGCGCGGCGGAATTTCGTGTTTCCCCGCCGAAAGGGCAGGTCACCCGCGAAATGTCAAAAACGGGGCTCGCGATAGACAATTCCGGCGTCGCATAATGGAGTCATCATCAAGGCTGAGCCGCATTATAGTCGGTAGGGAGTAACAGTTTTTCTACTTGATAATAATCGAGGCGTGGCACCGTGACGCGCCACGACGATAGTCCATAAATGTGTAATCTCGAACGAGAACATTATGAACGGAGGAAAAACTTTATGAATAACGTATTCGACGCGATGGAAAATGTTCGCGTTGAATTCATTGTAGGCTCGAACAGAATGGAAAACAGTTTCTTCGATCACGATGCTTCTAAGGACAGCCTTTTTGCACCGAAATGCTAGTCATAGTGCACGGGAGCATCGTCGTATTTATTAATATAATTATTCCAATTTAAATTAGGTGATCCAGCGTAAGCAACAGCGCCCCGCACCGAAGCGTCTGCAACCCGATTACGTGTACCCTGTTTTATCGATCAATGGTGACGGAAAATGGCGGGGGTAAGGCAGGTAATTAGTGCATCGATCGGTAACGATTTATCGATCGCGCAATGCGCCTTGATACAGAAGAGATCTAATAGAAATATAAATACATTTTACGTTTAAATAGACACGTCAATATCTAAATTTCTGTAGATTACAGAATAAATCAAATTCAAATAAAACGACCTCTTCAAACGAATGAAAATAGTGGCACTTATGTACGAAATCAAACATCCTTCATAATATTTTCACAATCTCTTTTCTAATCAGTGTCCACACATCAATCTCTCTAAATTCTATAGAACTCTATCAAACGTACGGTTCTATTCGAATGAAAAATCTCGAAATAATCGGGGCGCCTTTCGGGCAGGATACGCGACTGGCGACGCTTGGCGGCATCGGCGCGCTCAGCCAGCGGTCGCCATGGCGACGAGCAATCATCTTCCCCCACCAGTTTTCAAACGAGCCCCCTTCTGCGTCAGTCGTTCGCGAAGCCTCGCATGCGGCGGATTGTGCGTAATAGTACGCCGGCCAGTTTTCGTCCCGTGTTTCTCTCGCCCTTTCTTGCTCCCTCACCCCCTTGTGAAACAGCTAAAAGCCGAAGACACGGAGCGCCTCGGGGGCGCTGCCGCAAGTGTACAGTGCCGAGTGTTGTCGCGGCGAGATCCGTTCCGTTCTCTCCCGGTCGTCCGCACGGTCAATAATGAGGGACATGGCGGGCAAGATCGCCGAGTTGAAGTTCGAGGCACCCCTCGCACGCTTCGAGGAGGAGGACACGGCCAGCCTGAAGAACATGAATCTGCTGACAGGTGCGAGAAAACCGCGAGCCTCCCGTTCGTACGACTCCGTTCCGCGGACGATGGCGCACGCTGCGCATCTCGTCTCGCACCGATCCGGTCCGCGTAACCTCCTACGGATCGAAGGTTTATCGCGATGCTCCCGATTCGGCGATAATAAAATTCGATTTCTCGGGCCCCCGTCGATCGGCGGAATCACGCGAGAAACCGAGAGTAAACCGGCGCGACGACGATCGCCGCCGCGATATCCTCTCTCGTCCTCTCTCGCTCCTCCGTGCCGAGCGTAATCGATCTCTGAAACCGCCTCGAAAGTGGGTGATCCTACTTACGAAGTAATAAAATCGTTTCGAGGACGGTCGTACGCGAGTCACTGCCTCGGCGAGGATGCGTATTTACGCGTTACCCAGCGGGAACGATTATTCAACGAGCCCCGAGGAGCCTTGGTACCGTATCGGATTCCAGCTAAGAGACTCGATAAACACCGACTCTGCTCGCGTCCTGAATGATAGAATTTATTTCGGGAGTCTCCGGACAGAAACGCGGAATCAGTTCTGGGAAGAAGTCCGCGGATTTCACGGGGATCCGGTTCGAGTGCGAGCACCACTTGACCGTTTCGAATTTATCTTGCCGAGATAAGATTTTTTCTGGAGACGTCTGCATGGTATATACATTGCAGCGTTTTGGGTGGGGAATGGATGTCTTGTCGAGTCTTGTTAGTCGGTGATTCACGGAGAACGCCAGGCAAGTGACACACCGAATTTTATCAGGCTTTCGAGATAGAGTCTGCGATAATCCTCGACACGTATTCTTTCTAGCGACCCACATTCGGGTTAGGGGCTGAAGCTACCCTCCACGGTTTCAGGCGCAGGAGCTATTGGCTGCTAGGAATAGAAGCAAAAGTTTTGTCTACCGAGGCGAACAGGATTTCAGACAAATCATATTTCTTTGTTCACGATTCAATCGTCACTGTCACTAGAATAGACACTCGTACCGTACACATTGGTAAGAAACGGTACGACTTACACTCTAACGCGTTGAATGCCATGGGGGTCACCGGTGACCCCGACCAAATCGAATCGCTACAACTCACCGAATCATACGGTTATTTGAAAACATTTCTGTATTATAAATAACATTACCAGATACACTGGCATTCAACAAGATAAACGTGCGATAACAATAAGGTAATTCTATTTAACTCAATATTATATCCTCTCTCGTTTCACGAATTTGGCTCCGTGAAGCGATGCGGCATTCGCGTTAATTGACAACGTCACGCCGATAGGCAGAGGGTACGCGTCGCAACCTTGAACTAGAAACATTCGACCTAACGAGTAAAATAGTTTGCAGAGCGGTATCCAAGCATCATGAAGCGCGACCGACGACTGGAATCGATGAGAGCCGATAGGAAAAATGTTCGCTGCGTTGACGTCGTCCATCCACTTTTCCCGAAGTCCCAGCCAGCGGTGTACAACTATAAACGGAAATTTCGAAACCGAAAGAGCCGCGTACCTCGGTAGCCGGAACAGGTTTCGCGGGACTGGGTAAACGCGTGAAACGCGCGTGGTCACGCTCGTTTTGCGGGGCCTTAGAATCAAATGACGAGGGTGGCGTGGCGTGGCGTGTCGTGGCGTGGCCTGGCGTCGCGTATTTAGCTACCATGAAGAAGCGACCTTCGGTCGCGACAAAAGGCTACGTCACGCGTACGATTGCCGTCTAACGCGTTGCCCGAGCGAATCTATTCTCGAAACGAAAACGAGAGGCGTCCAGGCGCTCGTGGAAACGCTGAAACTTCATTGTTCGTTTCTTCCCTGACACCGACGGGATGAGCAGCGGTTAATCCGCCGATGGATCTCTTGAGAATCGTGATTAATCCTAGGTATATTAAAGTTAACTAGCAACTGCTGATTTTCATACAAGTTTTCTATATTGAACGTGATAATGACACGAATGTTTTGAAGCCCACAGCCTACGTTAGAGAATGAAGAGTAACGGAGCTTCTGTATCGCCGATAGTTAATCGCACCAATGAATTCTGACGCACAGAGCTATAATTTGAGGACAGTGGTACCGCTCGATCACGGCGTTGACCGATCGTTAACGTTACGTCACGCACGCGATCGTTTCCTGAAATGGCACAACGCGCTTAATTCGCGTCTCGGATAACGTTATTTCGAAAGAGCGCGCGAGCTTCGCCTCGAGCAGGGTTCGTATCGTTTTCCGCGACATCGTAGAACCCATTGAAATCCGCACCGCGAGGCTGGTCCGCGGAAACTTGGAAAAGATGGTGCACGTTTGATTTCGCTTCGAGGTTTGTCTCGTCGCAGACCTATCTTCGTCTCGTCCGCTTCTTGGCCGAGTGCTTTACGAACGATGTCATCGTTTTTTTTGTTTCTTTTTGAGATCGGTCGACGTGAAAGCGGCATGATTTTCTCTTGAAAAAGCGAACTACAGCGGCTTGTAATTCTCGCCAGGTTCCCTTTGAAACGGCGCCTGTGTTTACCGTGATTCTACCCTCGCCGTGGACCACCCGCGGACCAAAACCCTATTATAGATCCGTCGGAAGCTGAATGGCCGCCGACCTTCGACTTCGGCCGAGACGCGTTGACACTAACGCGCGAGACAAAAGGGGAAAAAAGAGGAGAAGAAATCTGTTGATCTCATTCGATACCGTCTGAAACATCCGATCTGCTATGCGTCACTGACATCCACGGGAAAGTTCGACCCGCAATTTACGTAATTGATAACGGAGCTGGCGGCGGGAGATGTAATTAATACCGGTCGCGTTCTCCGTTGACCGTGCCGTGTCTCCCCGGGACCGTCTCGCTCGACGCGTTCCGTGAGATACGGCACTGTGTGCAACAAACGGCGTTCCATCTTTCGCGTTCGCCGCGATCCTCTCTGTCCTCTCCGTCTCTCTCCTCTCGTGTTTACTCCGGAATACGACGGAGCCGGTGACTCGTACAAATACTCGTTTCAATGGAGTTTAACAGTAGGTTTACGGAGCGCGTCGATTTCACGCGTAGCGTGTCGTGAACGGTTATGAAATGATTGATTATCGATTGTTAGCTGAATAGAAAACTTGCAATTTCCAACATCTAATTGAACGAGCGTGAATTTCTCCGCGAACGACAGCATAAATTGCACGATCGATATCCGTAAACCCAGCGTCGATCATCCCCGTCCTCTTCGAGTGTCGATTTTTCTAAGCATTTCGTTTTCGTTCGATTGTCCGCAGAAGAACTGCTGGATGCCAGTTTGGACAGCAGCTACGGGGAGAACTGCAACGCGAACGAGCCGCCGGCGACCTATGAAAATGGAACCGATACCCTGCAAGAGGGGACGTTCAGCCCCTTCAGCGGCAGCCTCGAGGACCTCGTTAATACCTTCGACGAGAAGATAACATCCTGCTTCCGCGACTACGGCACGAACGTCGAGTCCCTAGCGCCTGTGCAAGTGAGGACGCAGGAGGAGCTCCTGAACGAGTGTCAGTAAGTTTCGGTAGCGCGGCCCTTCCTCGGTTCAACAAACGCACGGGGCGATATCCTCGATCGAACAGGCGACACGCGACCGTCGCGCGATTCACTTCGCATCGATGATTTAATCTGCGAGCGAGGGCCAGCAAACTGAATCCCGTCAATTTCTCATTTTATCCTCTCTCTCTCTCTCTCTCTCTCTCTCTGTTCAAAGACTGAAATTTATTATAACATCCAGGCTAGCTTGGATAAATCAAGAGAAAATATCCGAGGAGGTCCCGTAAGGATCACCGAGTGGCACGTCGTGTTTCGGTGTCGAAACGATTGAAGGGAAAAGGGAGGAACGCGCGTGGATGGAAATTACATCGGTTCGTGCGCACGAGAAGTTGTCAATGGTCCTTGGATCACGCGACGTCCGCCGGTACAGTTATACCGATTGAAAAACGAAGGAACCCGTTGCCGGCGGCACGGGTAAATGAATAGGAAGAGGATGGCCGAGTTATCGTGTTCAAATTGTTGCGATCCACGTTGAGATATCTATTACGCGCGACCGGTCGCCCCGGAGTATCCGCGTGCACGACGAGCAAATGATAGGCCGGCCAGCCGGACGAGCGGAAGTAATCGTTTATAGGATCGCCGTTATATTATTCGTTTGCGCTCGCGCGCGCGCTCGCTCGCTCGCGAGAGAGGGAATCATAATTGCCGGCTCGCGGAACGAGTATTCGAAATGACATAATTCAGGGTACGTCGTTCCGCCGTCAGATGCGTGCCGCTTTTACGATCACGAATGAATTTATCGTTCCTGTAAAATCGCGCAAAAAGTCGGCGAGATTACGCCTTTCGCCGACGTCCAGCCGGTTGTTCGCCACATAATATATCCTGTTCAAGTAATAGTCGTGTTAACGCTTTCTTCGGGGACTCGTTAAGAGGCGCGCGCGTTGCAGTTTCACTAGATACCCGAGTTAAACCAATATCCCGGAACGATAACTTGTGCTCGCTGTTATTAGGCACATCGGTCCGAGCCGTACCCTCGAATTGTGCTTTATAAATACAAATCGGCACGCGCGCGATCCGCGAGGCGCACGCGAACGCGCGTTAACCTTCTTTTTGTTCGCCGATGGGTCTCATGCGATCCCGTGGATTTCGTTTTCACTCCGTATATGAAACCGAAACGAATATAAGCCGCTCTTTACGTTCGAGCGTATTTCCTCGAGAGTCGAGGCAACCCATCGCTCGCGAAGCGTGCGTGACTTTACTCGTGCAACGGTTCCCTATTTTATTCGGAAATCGTTCGACGACCGGTCGGGAGGGCAGGGGACGATATGCTCGCCGCAAAGCCGGATCCTCGGGATCACGATATCGATTTTCCGACTGAAAAGTGTGCCGCCATGAGTACTCTCTACGTGACGTTCGCGCCGCGCTCTGCAGCTTTCTCTCCGCTATATGGACAGCGCGCCGGGACAAGAGAGGAAGAGAGTCGATTCCTAATTAGATTACCGAGTGGGGATAAATTCGTCGTTTTCAATGGGATTCGGTGTCCCGTGCCGTTCGAAGCGATTCACGGCTGGGACAGCCGAAAGAAACGAGCGACGCGGGGCGACAAAGTAAACGAGGGACAATAGGGCTCGGCGAGGGGCAGCGCTCGCGAGGAACAAAGTCGACGCAAGTCCGCTGGACATTTTCTGCTCGAAGGAGCCGACGGTCAGGTGGAAAAACGACCGACCGGATGAAAGTCAAAATTCCCGCGGGTTAGGGGCGAAGGGTCTCGGAGGCAAATATTTTCAGAAGAAAGCGGCCGTCGCGATCGCGCCGCAGGTGTCCGGCCGAATCGCGCCCCGGCACGGCCGCGCCGAAGGCTGCAGGTGGAAGCCAACCAAGCGCAAAATTGTATCTTCTTCGGCGTAGGCTCTTAAACTCGTTTGAACTTCATTGTCCACTGTCGTGCATAATTCCTTTGAAGCCGCGCTCTCTCGCGAAATCCGTCTGGCCTTTAATCGGCGGCGGCTCGTTGGAAGAGAAACGAGGAAGACGACGATTACCGAACGATAGGATGAAGCGCGAATCGAGAAGCTCCCGCGAACGTACGCGATATTACAATGAATCCTCCTGTAAGCTCGATTCGCGAAGTATGTTACTCAACGTACCGAACCGCGCTTGAATTCTTTATGCTCGGCGAAGAGCAACCTCAGCGATTTCCATCTGAAAAAAAAAACGTATCGCTTGCAGAGCAGCGCGAACGGGACCCAAGAAAGTCGCTGCGTTTGTTTCGCTGTGGCAAGAATGACTGGAGCAGCGCGTGCTCGTTGAATAATACAGTTGCCCGCGGAAGCAAGTTAACGGATTCACAACCGTATCGCCGTCGACTATCATTGGAAACGTCGAATTTTCGCGTCGAGGCCGCGATCGCTCTACGTGAATTTTTGGGAACGTTACGATCGAAAGCGTCGACTCGGGATCGTACGGTTCGCGGTGTCGTAGAGGAACCAGCGTGGCACGGTCGTAGCTGCAACCGCGTATTTTCGCAACGTGCCAAGTATTTCTTTGCGCCGGTAGCCCGGTTTACGTAACATACGCAGTGGTTTCATCTTTGCCAAACCACTTTGCCGAAAGAGAGCGAGGTCCCCGCGAGGAGTCGCGAGGTCAGCGTCCTGCGTTCGCAGGAACGACACGTGCAACAGCACGTGTCTCGCTCTCCGGATTGCTGGCGTTTTCGTCCGCGCGTGCATCTACTATTGGCGGATGGCTCGATGTCTATTGAAACCGCTCTGGGGCACGAGAGGGGTGAATGTTTTCAACACAGTCTCGATTGACGAGTAAAACAAGTAAAGGAGAACAAGCGAAAACCGATCAATCGGGCCCGCATTCCTCGATCCAGCCATCTCCCGGCGGGGTACAGCCCCGAATGAATAACAGCGCTCGCGTAATCCGATTTGCACGCGCACGGGGAGACCGTCTTTCTCCCGGGATTGGGATCGACTTTTCAACGAATGAAATCTCGGGTCGAACAAGGTCGTGTTCACCGTCCCCCTACCCTCTGGCCTCCGGCCTCTTTGGATCCTCCTTTCGACGAGGCGAAACGCGGCAGCCTCGCGGGCTCGGCGGCCCTCTTTTCACCAGCGCGTGGACCCGAAAGACTTTCTCGCCCCACGGCGAGCCTAACTTCCTCCTCTTTCTTTCTCCTTTTTTTCCCCGCTTGTTTAGCCTCCGCTCCTCTTTTATTTTCTTTCCTTTCTGCCCGAACCCCTTTCGAGGCCGAGCGGGTCGTACGTGCACGCGCACGCGACCGCCTCTTTTCTCTCGCCACGATGATCACCGGCGCGCTTCAAAACCCGTGGAATCGTTCATTATCCGAGATACCTTCCAAAGAGTGTTACGGCACCGATTATCACGTTCTTGCTCCGAGCTAATGGTCCGCGCTAGCGGTAGGTTCCCGCTGAACATCGGCGAGAGACTCGGAGCAGGCGTCAGCGACTAAATATCCGTGAACACGCGTGTTAACGTTTTCTTACGAGGGAATGTGTATTGTTTCTTGGTCCTCTCGTATTAAAACGGAAGATCGATGGACTGCTCCTCGATCGGCCTGTCGAATGTACTGGAGCACGAGTTCTCCCATCGAGAATCAGCGGAATTGGAATACGGCCACGTTAATACGCGCGTGACCCGTCGTTGCCAGTGGTAGATTGCACTCGTGGAATACTAGGGTAGGAAAGAATGTCGGCAACTCGGATGACACGGTTGGCGGACGGGTCACGGATCGAATGCTAGTTTCCACGAATCCGATCGGCTGATCCAAATCTCTTTAAGCCCGAAGCCGTGAACCCTAGCGTCTAGACGCGTAGTCTACGGGAAAGCGAAAGACCGCGGCGAAGTGAGCCGCAGGCGGTGTAACGGTACCGTAAAAAACGATATCACGGTGCTCGTACGAATTCACCGAGCCTCCTGTGTCACAGGTCACGGCAGCGACGCGAACAATCGAGGCGTCAAGGAACGCCGGTCAAACGGACGGAAGGAACGCGGGGGAGAATGAAATCGGTGTCCCCGGGGCGATCGATAGGCGCGATCGCCCCCGCTCGGCGAAGAAATCGTGCATGATCGAATCGGCGAGGGGCATGAAAATTTGATCTCTGTGTTTTGTTCCGTCGTTCGTATCGAGCCACCCTCCGGATGGACGAACGTCAATAAAGCCGCGCACGCGCCGCACGCGGCCGCCTTCCGCCACGATTCTCCGCCGTTTTCGTGTCCCGTTTCTGCGCTCGATGCTTTCTTTTCATTTTCCTCTCGCGTCGCAGATCGTGCACCTTCCCCGATCGTCGGAAACGATCGTCGCATCGCCGTCGCGTTCGATCGTCCCGCGTTTTCCGTTTCGGCGCCGATCGACTTTCCCCGTTTTCTCGGCGGACCGTCCATCGCGCGGTCGAGAACGCCGTCGGCCGCGCTCGTGGGACACCTTTGACCCGCCAGGACGACGCGGCCGCCTCTGTAATCCTCGAGCACCGGTTTCGTCGTTGCACAACGGCGCATTTTTACGGGGGACATTGTTTTCCTCCCGCCGGCTGTCGCCGTTGCGCAACGCGCACCGTACGAGCCTCGGTCCCCGGATCATTGAACCGAACGATAAATTAATAAGCGGATACTCTTTCCTGGGAATCGAATTTCCCCGCGATTTCAATCGCCCGTAGGGCTGCGCGACGGAGCGGCCGCGGAAGGATGCGAGCTCGATTACCGAATCGATTCAAAGAAACGCCTTTGCCCTGTTAACTCTTTGGGGTTGGCTAGCTGAAAAACTGGCCCACCCTTTGCTTAACTTTTTACGCATGCTGAGTTTAACTCGCTCCGAGAACACTTTTTTCATCCAGTCGGCAATGCTACGAATCAACGGCAAATGCGTGGATGAGTGAAAAGAAAAATGTATACACTCGAGACGCATTAGTTGAACGATTAAGTTGAATTGCCTGGCGAATTCCGTGCAGCCTGGGTTGCTTCCTTCTCGAAAATCCGCGATTCGAGGTCGTTCTAATTGATAGACCAGGCGCGCACGGAATTTCCAGTTCTCTTTGGTGAATTTCCAACTGGCTCCGCTCGCGTTGAAGTGTCGGACACGCCGCATAATTGCGTCCGGCGTCCGCTAATTATTCCCTTTCGTTTCGTTCCGGTGTCGCGACGGAATTGCGGAACACGCGGAATCGCGGCGATCTACGCGTAATTGTGTCCGGGTCCCGCGTTCGCGCAAACATGGGCGTGCTTTTTTATTTACGCCTTCTATCTTTGGCGCGTATCGATTCGAAACGAGACGAGGCTGGCCGGTGATTCCGCCGTTTCTGGCCATCTGGCCGGCCCTGATGTTTCCCAGTACGCGTCGCCGATGCGACCGGCACGCCGGCCCGATGAAGTCACGGCTTTAATACACTTAACATTAATGAGAAACTCAAGTGGGCCGAATTGACCTCCATTTGTTAATCCGACACCATCGACCACCGGCTGGCGGCGGCGGCGGCTGCTGTTGCGCTCGCTCTCTCGCGTTACTTTTATTTCCGTGGCCGGCCGGCCGCGCCGCCGATGCCCGCCGCGAACGAAAAGGAAACGAACCATCGGTTTAATCGACGGGGATCGTTGTCGGGAAGAATTCGAGGGCCCGGCGCGATGAGAACGTCACAGCGGACGGGGTCGGCGTTCATTAAACCTGATTAAAAGAGGGTGGCCGCGTCTGCGATCCGAATTGTTCGCCGGGGACGTTGCTCTCCGCCCATTTCCTCGGAAGCAATACGCTCGACGCGTGAAACGGGCGTAAAAGTTGTAACGCGTATCGATTCGTATCAAATCCGTCGCAGCCCTCCGCGCGCCGACGTTGGAAACTGTTGAGCACGTTCGCTAACTCGAAGCAATTCCACGTCTACCAGTACTTTTTAATTTTAGCTTTGCTTCGCGCGTCGAGCTGTTAACCTTTTGCACTCGAGAGGCGACTCTCGGGATATTTCAGTGAACTAGCTTTGTTTCTTAATTAACACTGGCGTACGAAAACTCCCGGATCGTTTCTCTAGATTTTCTCGCACGATAAAGTCTGTAGAAACTCTCTGTTGTCAAGATATTCTTTGCACATCAATGTCCTTGTTTATTATATTAACAATAATTCCAGAAACGATACGGCCGGGAACTGACGTCGAATATTTCCATCGAAAAACTTGCGAGCGGTGGAATCCGCGTGCGATTCTTCGTAGAGATTTCCCAGCGAGCGACTCGCGCGGCGGCGAAGAAAAAGAACCGGCGGTGTTCGATTGAATCGGATCTAAAAATACCGGCGTGGCGTTGCCGACGCGATTACGCGCGTTATGCAATTGGAATTGTTTACAAATCAGAGTGCTGAGAATGGGCCATTGATCGAGCGTCGTTCACGGGCACCGGCGTCGATTCGTACGGGCAACGCTCATTTCCTCGGAACAGTCGCTATTGTTATCGGGGGCCGAGTTATATTCTCCAGTTTCACGGCGAGATCGAAGTGTGACTCCTTCCGCGCGCGTGTACCGCGTGCGTGTGCCCAGGAAACGCCTACGGGCCGAGTGATTCACACGCTATCCCAGAAAACGAACACTTAACAGAACGTCTGTCGCCGCGGCGGAATCTTATCGCGTCTGCCGACGCTCGGATCGCTTGGGAACCTTCCGCTGCTCTCCGAATCGGAGCCCATTCTATCTATTCTATCGAGTGATCTATTCTATCAAGCGATTCGCGTGGAAACACGGCGCGATCGTTCGCGATCGGCTCACTTCGAGATCCCGAAATCCATTAGAGCCTTCCCTCGTCTCGAGGAGTCGTTCTCCCAGCCGTTTCCTAGCTGCGAAGATTACCTGTAGCGGCGCGAAACGCCGCACTACAGTTGCCAGATGACTCGTTGTCTAGCGAGACGCCATAGGAGCGGGAGGAGTCTTTCTACTTTACTGCTTTATAGTCTCTATCGGTCGCGCGCGCAGCTGCATCGAAGGATATGTAGACTAGCGATCGGAAATGTCGAGAGATCAAGCGGGGAAAATATTAAGCGAGAGAAAAATGAGAACCGACCGATCAGCCGAATTCCTCGAAGTCTAGCCTTCGATCTTAGACGTAGACGTCGACGCTGCTCATCGCAGGTTCTCGGGTACGCCGCGAAGAATACCTGAACCTGACGCGGTGGTTTGAATTACCGAGACCTGACGGTTTATTTCAGGCCGCGTGTGTCCACGGCAGAAATAAAAAGCCGGAAAGGGTTCGGCCGATGAATTCCGCGAAGCCCCGGAACGCTAAGACGCGAAAATAAATGCGGCCGATTCGATCCGTGGCTCGGGAACGCCGGAGAAGAATTTAGCGGGGGAGGATATGAGTCAGCTGGTGCGTGATGGATCTGCATAATTAATAAGACGCTCGGCGATGCGCGCGGGGAAGAAGAATCGAAGTCGCGCGTGGCCAGGGATAGCGTACTCTGTCCCATTCGAAACGCGAGATTCCGGTTTCAGCGGGGAATAACGAGGTATCGAGATTTTCTAATTGAATTGTGTGCTTGCAGGATGTGGTGGACGATAACCGGCACGTTCGGCAACATACTGCCGATCGACTGGAGCAAATCGTACGCGAGGAAGATGCACATGCCGTCGTTGAATCTGAACGAGGCTCCGCTGTCGAACGACAGGTAAGCTCTAAGCCGACGTTTCTGTGTTTGATTGAGGTTCCTTTGCCGCTTTCGTTCACGAGACGGTCGCGAAGCTCAGAAACGCGGAATTTGAAGGTTGCAGACGGTGATGGTAGACGCGATTAATGTTCGCCAATCGGCCGCTTTCCTTTTGTTTGCTTTAGACAAGAACTAGAGGATTTAAGTAGCGAAGACGAGGCGGTCGCGACTGATTTGGACATGCATGCTTTAATATTGTCCAGCAGCCCCGAGGAACAGCTGAAGACCGCGGAGGAAGTGCTCCGCGAGATAGACGACATAATGCAGGCAAGTGAATCCTCCGAGCGAACAGTAAGTCTTTTATCCGAGGCAATTGACTGCGGTTAGAGACGGCTCTGTTGATGCGAAGTGATTAATAGGCGTACGGTTTGCAGGAGAGCCCGTCGATGGAACGATCGCCGGACTCGGATGGCTCGCTGTTGGATAGCGACGAGGCGCTGGAACGGAGCAGGGAGGTTCTCGGCTCGCCGCTGCACGAGAAAAGTATATTTCCATCGAACGATCTGAAACAATAAACACCGCCGGGATATGGAGCCCGTTAATTCGAATCGCGATGTGCTTGTTTTAGAGTTGAAACAACTCAGCTCCAGTCAACTGACCGAGCTCCTCGGCGAGATGGAATCGCTGGTGGGTGCCCTGAGCGAAACTCTGATCGCGGAGCTCGCGTTGAGGGACGAGCTGGAGTACGAGAAAGAGCTGAAGAATCAGTTCATCTCGTTGCTGCTGGTGGTGCAGAACCGGCGTAGGCAGCACCATGTGACGAAAAAGAGAAATCAAATGCAAAACGGCACCAGCCCGTTGCCGCAACACAGATCTCTGCAGGAGTCCAAGGTAGAGCACGTTGATACGTTTATTTTTATTGGTTAATCCAGGCTTGATCGAGAAATAACATCCGATGGTTCTTTCAGTATTTAACGACTGTAATTCCATACCACACGGATAGTGGCCCACTGGACAACCAAGCCTTACAAGTTCTTATAAAAAGTAAGTGTTTGTAATAACGGTTAGAGGGTGGTTTCGATATAAGTACTTTTAACGTTTAATGTAATGCGATTTGTAACGGAGAAGGTATAATATATATAATGTTCTGTTGTAGTATTAAAAGCAATTAACGAAGATAGCCCAACAGTACCTACGTTATTAACGGATTATATACTCAAAGGTATACGAATATTTTGAATTATCCATATATTCGCATGAATGTGTAATGGGATATTGAAGTTTATAGGCGACAAGATTTAATAATGAACAATGCAATCGTACGTTTTTCAGTTGTGTGTCCCACTTAGTGAGGATATCGTAAGTCTCACGGGAAGATCGATGGAACGTCAGGAAGAAAGATATTAAAATAACGAAGAATACAAATTTGCTCTCTTCTTCTTGCCAGTACGCTTTCAGCCGTTGTTGTGCCGCATACACTTGCGTTAAGGCAGGTGATTTTTGCTTCTGAGTTGTGTCTCGAATTACACTCTCTATTGATTGTAGATCGTAGATAGGGTCCCGTGACACTCATATCTAGTCTTACTTTATATATTATAATGTGTATATTGATTTTACATAAGGTACAGTTTCGATATCTGTGTATGCGCTCTATGGAATACCTCTTGTCTTACATGAATTATAATACAACCTTCATTTTTGTATACGTCATCATGGATTTCTCGTGACGATTCGGTTTTTGTAATTTTTTGTACATAAAGATTTTATCGAAATACGTGTGAGCAAAGTTTACTATAACACCGAGAATACTTATATTTATCTAGAGAAATATACCAAATAACTTGTAGATTGCTCTTTACCGAGGAGAGAAAGGAAGAGAAGCATAAGTAAGCTTACAGATTTAATGCATATTGTTGTAACACCCGTATGTATCTAAAGTTAAAGTAATTAATAACATTGACGCGCAAAGATACATTGCATCCCGTTACTCGAATCATACTTTCACAGATGTGTACTTTAATTGAAAACTGTTAAATGACTGTGTACAAAGCTGGCATTAAAAATTCTTTGTGTACAGCGACGCAGTTGTCCCGATGCATTGTGCATAAAGTAGAAATATTGTGTTTGTTGAAATAAAGAAATAAATCTGACAATCTTACCATTTAAAAGAATACTCCTCACCCGCATGTAATTAAATTTCTATTATAAAAAGAACTTATATATACCAGTGTAGTACTAGTTATAAAATCTGATTATATAATTAATAGCATACTATTATTACTATTATTATTATTATCATCATCATCATCATCATCATCATTGTAATCATAATCACACAGCATTGTGTTCTACATTTCAATTTTATTTACCAGCAAAACCAAATTTTATTTTTAGCATTGAATCGTACCTACAAATATAGATACTCATGAAAACGTCTATATTTAGTGAACCTACTGGCAACAATAATAGAGTAGCACGGTTCTTGCTGAAACGTGTGAAATTAATAAAAACTCATTGATTTACGAATCGATTATGATGATGATGAAGCAAAGGTTAAAGGTACGAACTTAATGTATTTAATTCAATGATTTGCATAACTTATCTTTAGCGAAAACCGTTAAGATTTACATGTTACTTCTTTTTGCAAAGTCTAACCTATAGATGCACGTAACATCGTACTTATGATACAATTTTATAGATTGCTTTCTTTATTTTTGCATTAATTTTACTAACATTAACTAAAATGAGTTGTGAAATGTTGTGTTTTCCTCTGATGCAGAGACCTTCGTTAAATACTTTAAGAAGTATTGCTTCTGGAGGTTTGGTGATTGCAGGTTTTGGATTCTATAATGAATTTTTATATCAAAGAAGACTTCGACAAACAAAAACTTATCAGAGAGTATTAGAAATACTTTATGATCACGAGGAGACCAAAAACCACTTAGGGCCACCAATAAAGGAAGGATACGTAAAATTCCATGACCAACGAGACAATTTTAAAACCTTTTCATTTCCTCTAAAAGGATCAAATACAAAAGGCATATTAAATTGTGAATACTTCCTTACGGAACCAGATAGACAACCAGTGATATCAAAGATTACATTTTCTGATCTGTCCGATCAAATTTTTACACTTTATAAAAACGAATAGATATAATAATGAAATACATTGTTGCCTTTTGTTTTTCAATTATGTTTTTATGGTATTGCTTAAAAGTATACAAAAGTCTTATTGTATATAAGTTAAAAACAAGACAAAGTATAGAAAATTAATTATATTCAAATTCTCAAAATACAATATAAATAAAAATAATTAAATTATCTAAACGTTTGTAAAGGCATATCAGTAATTCCTTCTGGAACTTTAAGTCCTCTTCTTGTGTAACCAAAACCAGCTTGTATAATGTGTAGAGCAGCTTCAACAGTTAATTTAATGTCACGTTGACTACCAATTTGAGGGTTCACTTCTACAAGATCGACAGCATTTAATCTGTGAGTTCTATACAATTCTTCCATTAGATGAACAGCTTCCCTAAGAGATAATCCGCCACGTACTAAAATTAAAAGTTTTTTAAATATTCTTAAAAATCCAATTCTACATTGTTCACTTTAAATTAATTTGGGTTAATATAAAAAGGAAAGTTCATTTACCAGATGTTCCTGTACTTGGTGCTTCCAAAGGATCAAGAGAATCAATGTCAAAACTAACATGCAGTGACTTTGAGTCACTAGGATCTATTTTCTCTACTGCCATATTTACAATGTCATGAATTCCTAAAAAAAGGAGAGTAAATCAGTAAGTAATATGTAATATGTACATGATATATATGGTATATATGAATTTAGGATATTACCATATCGTTCAACATCTTCCATACCAAAAGCAGTAATACCAAATTTTTCAATGACTAATCTTTCATAACGATCTACCGACCTTAATCCAATATAAGCTACATTCCTTATTGATAGCCTAAAAGTAAATACTTATTATATATTGTATTATAATATAATATAATATTATAAGAGTATTATAAATATTACATTGGTTGTTGCCAGTCCATGCCTGGAAGATGTGGCCAATAATCAGATAATTCAGAAGTTAATAATGCAACAGGCATTCCATGAACATTTCCACTTTCACTGGTTTTATTGGTGTTAAGATCGGCGTGTGCATCAACCCATATTACACCTACATCCTTCTTCACCTTCAAACATGTAATACAGCACTATTTCATATTTTGAAAAGTAAATTTTAGAAATTTTAAACATATTTTTTGTTCATATTATACCTTGACATGGCCATCTATAGTCCCAATGCCAACACTGTGATCACCCCCAATTGTTAATACTCGGCGACCATCATTTAAAATCTTTTGTACTTGTTCAGATAAACAATTAGTACAACCAGCAACATCCCCTAAGTGTGACATATTACTCACACCATCACGTACATCTTTCGTTTCGTATGAAACGTTACCGTAATCTTTTACGTCTAGACCTGATTCAAGTATCCAACATAATTCACATTAGCCGTATAATTTTTAAGAATACCGAAAATTGACACTATTGAATTGTGTGGATACCTAAAGATTCTAATTCTTGCAGTAGACCAGCTGCCCTGATCACCTGTGGACCATCTGCTACACCCTTTTTACGCTGTGTAATTAATTAAATCAGTAATAATTCATAAAAATAATTTACACAGTAGTACCTGTCCTTTCTCGAATGGTACACCAATTATTCCAATTTTGCCATAATAACGAGCTCCAAACTTTAAAGCAACACTTCGTATTCCAGTTAACATATTGGTTTGCTTCTACAGTTTCCATTTATGATCAAGCACGAAATAATGGCTAATGATTGACCTATACCCTGAATGTTGTAACTGAGATAACTTATGAGATTTGGGGTCTATAAACATGCTGAAGTGATGATAAATATGTACAAGGATACAATAGTATTCCAAGAAAAAATATTACTTTTTCGAAATTTTCAATATTGTATACTTATAAATTGTACAAGTTAACAAATACGTATTTGTTTATCTTATATAATAAACAGATACTAAAGATATCTCAAATATACAATAACAAATTCATTGACGTTTACTTAAACAAATAATTTATACAATAAAAGTATTTCTTAAAAAATCGGATTCTAACGTTTCATATTGTTCTATTAAATAATTTATTTTGGACCAATCATATTTTCGGGTTTAACCCAGTTGTTAAATTGTTCTTCAGTCACACCATTTTTCAATGCTGATTCCTTTAGTGTCAGATTCTCTTTGTGAGCTTGCTTTGCAATTGCAGCAGCCTAAAAATAATATGCATTTTATTGTACATTAAGACAAAAAATTATATTATATTAAGAAACTTGAAAAAATGAATGTAAATTACTTTATCATAACCAATGTGCGGATTTAATGCTGTGACAAGCATTAAACTTTCATTAAGAAGTTTATTAATTTTGTCATTATTTGGTTTGATGCCCGCAACACAATTCTTTGTAAACGTAGCGCACGCATCACCCAGAAGCCTTGCAGACCTCAGTGTATTTGCAACTATGACTGGTTTAAATACATTAAGCTCAAAGTGACCGTTACTTCCAGCAACCGTTGTTGCAACATGATTTCCCATTACTTGACAACAAACCATTGTCAATGCTTCGCACTGTGTCGGATTTACTTTACCAGGCATAATTGAACTTCCTGGTTCATTTTCAGGAAGAGATAACTCCCCTAAACCACAACGTGGTCCACTTCCCAAGAATCGAATATCATTGGCTATCTAAGTAGAAAATGTGTAACAACTTTTAAATTTCTATTATCGAATATTGTTTTACATATCAATATTATCGACATGTACCTTCATAAGCGATACTGCAACGGTATTAAGCGCACCAGACACTTCTACCATAGCATCATGTGCTGCCAAAGCTTCAAATTTATTTGGAGCACTCACAAATGGTAAACACGTAAGTTCTGCAATTTTTGCTGCTGCTTTTTCTGCAAAACCCTTTGGTGTGTTCAGTCCAGTACCTACTGCAGTACCACCAAGCGCTAATTCATACAATCTGGGAAGAGTACTTTTTACCCTTGCAATACCATTATTCATCTGCATTGCATATCCTGAATATTACAACTCTTTGTGTTAAATTATGATCTTGTTATCTACTTTACATTTATTGATTCTAATATCTACCTGAAAATTCTTGACCTAATGTTAATGGCACAGCATCCTGAGTATGAGTCCTACCAATTTTTATAATATCTTTCCATGCTTGTGCTTTTGCTTGTAAAGCTTCGCACAAACACTGCATTCCAGGAAGAAGCACCTTATTAATTTCCAAAGCAACTGCTATATGCATTGCAGTTGGAAAGGTGTCATTGCTACTTTGAGATTTATTTACATGATCATTCGGATGAACAGGATTTTTCGATCCAAGTTGACCACCTAGTATTTCAATTGCACGATTCGAAATTACCTAAATTAAAATTGAAAATTAGTTAACAATATTGTTTGCGGGAATTTCTAAGTAATGTGTACTAAATAAATACCTCATTGGTATTCATATTAGTTTGCGTACCAGAACCTGTTTGCCAAATCACCAATGGAAAATGATCATTATAGAGTTTACCACAAATAACATCATCAGCAGCTTTGCTAATAGCATCTGCTATCTTCTTATCCATTCCAAATTCCTTATTTACTTCTGCTGCTGCTTTTTTCAATATACCCATTGCCACAATGACACCATACTGGACAATCGTAATGCAATAGACAAGAATGAATGGAAACATATGGTACAACAAACGGTTTAAGTTAAATAAATTTATTATGTTTTCTTACAGGCATGCGTTCAAATGTATCACCAATGGGAAAATTCATTACTGATCGCATAGTTTGTGCTCCATAATATTTGTCACTGGGTACCTTCAACTCACCAAAAGTATCTCTCTCAACACGATATTCTTTACCTCCATCCTGCAATTATAAACCAAACTCTCATTAAATCAAAAGAAATTAAATTTGGAAAAAAAATAGAACACTATATAATACCATAATAAAAGGATAAATTATATAACACAACCGAGCAACTGTAGTTTCACAATGGATGTTAAAGTAGTCTGAATAGGGGAAATTGAAGGTCAGTCAAGTGAAGCCAGTTAATCAGAACTATGTGTATACAAAGATAATATATGTATTCACATACACAAACAACATTTTAAGTAATCAGCATGTTTGACATTTTTCAAGGAAAAGTTGAATGAAATAATGTATGTAGAATTACACAAATTAATGGAGAGATTATCATAATCATGTAAAGCAGTGTTGTAAAATTTTTTTTTTTAGTCTACAATCGTAAATAGTTAATCGGTTACAGAGACGGAAAATATTCTTAAACGAATCTAATTTAACTGAACATGTAACGATAAGAGTGATTTTATAAATATTAATGAGAAATCTTTAAAAAAAGTTGCCGCATACCATTGTAGTTTTTACTAAAGTTTCGTATCAGAAGTTACTAATTCCATTTATAAAATGTTTCCCAATCTTTCAGACGACGGATTAATGATTAAACATCAAATGTATTCAATTGTTTTATCGTCAATTATGGAATGACATTTTGAACGTACATATGTAGATCAAATTGATTGTGAGTGATACACTTGGTTTTTGTGATAATCTTTCGAAAACTATTTTAGGATTGGATTTCTAAACGCTTATGTAAAAGCAGTTCACGAACCACTTTAAAAGTCATGAATAATTAAATTCTGAAGATGAACACCATGGTAAATGAACATAATTATTATCAACGGAACATCCCGAAGTTATAATTAACACGTTAAACTAATAACACTGATTTTACACGAGAATATTTCTACCTTACTGCTTTTGGAAATCGCCGATGTGCTTAGTGACAGCCTTAATGTTAAAAATCCCGATGATTCCCCGAATTCCCTTAGTCCACGACTAACGAAGGAACATCTTAACAAATTCAACGTCATTGTAACTGTTTCTTAAATGTCGATTTCTCTCAAGAATCGCTCGAAATACTGAAAAACGAAATTAATTTGGGTGAGCAGGTGAGCAACTTGAAAATCATTCACGAAACACACGGTCGTTAGATAGAAACCTGCGAATGTGAACGAAACTGCCAAAATTACCACATTTAGTTTGCAAATCAAACAGCGACACCATGCGCGCGAAAACGGGCGTTTACGATTGGTTCTAGTTTTTTATTAACTAATTTCAATTAATAATATAATATTCAACTGCGAGTAAATAAAATATTCTACTCTCTCGCAGCGAACATAAAATAAGCGTGTTTATTATAATTTATTCAAACTCGTGCTTCAATTGAATTTCAATGAAGCTTTTAGTAGAAAAATGAACCGTTGTTTCAGTTGTTAAATAAATTAGTTCCTCGAGCTCTATACGCGCATAAACACACGGAGTTTAGTTATCAATAGTTTCCAGTATTTTCTCGGTACAAAGTACAGTAGAAAACGCGTAAATTTTCACGTTAAAACATTCGAATCTTCTTAATGGAAGCCTGTGTTAATTTTCGAAAAACATAGAATTTCGGAAGTGTCTTGAACACGAAACCACTTCCTCTCTCTAATTTTCATTCTTTTCTAGTTTGTAGCGGGAAGTCTACGAATGCATTATACGGCGAAGGTCGTTAAGATCGATTGCAATATTTTAAACAATCCAATATAAGTTTCGTCGCCATTCTATTTGCGTTACATTCGCTGTGGTGATTTTGTGTACAGCGGTTCGAACGGAACTATGGTGTATTTTTGAAAAAAAAAATGTCGTGGGAATGATCAACGAGCCAATAAATTGATTAACAGCATGGCTTTATCTTGGTTGCGATATACGAATTGAAATCGGCAATATTGCAAGCTATTACTCAACGATAAGTCCGCACGACAGGTCGATTAAAATTTTGCAACGTCGAAACTGTTATTAGGACTTGAGTCTCATGTAAACAGCACGCGGATCTTGTGTGTCATCCGATCTAATGATCCTTATTATGTAATTTGTGCACCGGCTGAATGCTATGCTTGAAAAAACGTGGATGAAAATTAATAGAATTCGCGTCACGAGCGGTGTTTTTCGAAAATGACTGATTCTTCCTCCTCTTCTACTTTCGCAAGGTAAGTCGATCTGCGTTCTCCATTGGGACGCGTGTCGCGAAACCTTTTTCCGCTTCTTCTATCGACGCACCACAAAAATCCGTCTACGTGTCCTCGAGACGTTTTACGACAAGCGTATGTTTCACATCCTATACAACAATATGCAATTTTGTTTTTTTATTCTTAACCTAAAATTGTTTCAGAGCCGGTTCTCGCACGTTTCGTGAACGCAATATTTTGAAAGAGCTGGGCCCATTCTTTATCTTCACTCGCTTTCGCTTTACTTTAATCTGTCGTGCTTTTTACATTTTTCTCGAACGTGTGCTAGCGATTCTATCACTGGTTTAAACTGATAATGTCGGTTCAAAATGAGTCGACAGTTAAAGTGACCTGAATGATGGTCACTTTTTCTCTCATAAATTAGAAATGCCAATGACAGTTTAATGTTTTATTTACATTATTTGCGACGTTCGGTTGTATTTATTGCTGTTCAAGTATGAAGTATTTTTAGTAAAATGTTTTTAAGCAACGTTAAACGTACTTTTTAATGAAGATTTTATTGTGTATGAAAATTACTCTATTATAACATTTGGACCGGTGTATTTTCATTTTTAAGCATCATTTCTTCAATGTACATATTTGTAACTAAGAACATGTTTACTTAAAGTGTTACAGGGTTAAGACCAAAGATATATTGCTATCCGTTTTTTTGTGTACAATGAAAGTCTTGCGTTTATTGATTGTAAATTAGCATTATTACACTATAAAGCATAAAATTCATTAGTTTATTCGTATCCTTTATGGTATATACTGAAATATGACTCTACCGAATATTAAGAAGTACTTACGAATTCTTTATATTGATATATATATCATAAGTTAATATTGTTATCGTATGCGAAAAGATTAAAGTACTTTATGTCTTACAGGGTAATCAGTAAAGTATTGACTTTTATAAAATGTATTGCTCGAATTGGCTTTGTGATATTAAACAATGTTTACTGTATACCAACATATGTAGTATGGATGACACTATTGTTCCCTGTCAAAGTCTATCAGCCTCAAGTATACTGGCGGATCGAAGGGCTATTTTTTCATTGGCTATTAGCAATGGTATCCATGTGGACTTGGTCTGCAGGCTACGACAGTAAGTATTTATATATTTTTATATAATACACAAGCAATTGAAGGATACATTCATTATGGTATAAGTATTAATATTGGTAATTGGTATTTTCATTGACAGTAATAGAACAAGGTGATGATATACAAAAAATTATTAGCGAAAGGACGTTAGTAATAGCGAATCATCAAAGTACCGGTGATGTTCCTATACTAATGACAACATTTAATGCGAAACCAAATGTATTACCTAATCTGATGTGGATTATGGACAGAGTTTTTAAATTTACAAACTTTGGAATAGTTTCTATTTTACATCATGACTTCTTTATAGTGTCTGTAAGTTTCTAATTTTATTAATTTATTAACAGCATAATGTATTATATAAATTATTATGTTTAATGAACACATTTTTGTTCTAATGTTTATCAGGGTCGTAAGAAGAGAGAAGAAAGCTTAAAGCAATTAGAGAAACACTTGAAGGAATCGTACATTCCACTTAATAGAGAATGGATGGTTCTGTTTCCAGAGGGCGGTTTTTTATGCAAAAGGAGGGAGACCTCGCAAAAATATGCTAAGAAAAATAATCTTCCTATTCTGGAAAATGTAACTCTGCCACGTTTTGGAGCATTGTGGACTATATTTGATACACTTGGTCCATCACAGAATAATAATAGATCAAATCAACAATTAGATAATAGAGCAAGTAAATAATTTTACAAATTATACATTTGAAACAGTATTACATTATGTGTTATTAAGTTACGATTAAATATTTGTCATACAGGTATGACAGTAGCAAAACCTGAAATCAATTGGGTTCTTGATATAACAATAGCATATCCTCAAGGTAAACCGATCGATTTACCTACAATTATAACTGGTTCTAGACCACCGTGTGAAACAGTACTGTTTTATAGAGTCTTTCCTAGTTCAGTGGTAAGTTTCGATACTTTATTGCTTTTTTTTCTGTTTAACAGTGCAGTACTTTAGTGCATCATCATCTTTTAGGTTCCTCGGGAACCAGAATTATTATCGAAATGGTTGTATGATAGGTGGGTTGAAAAAGAAGCACTTTTGGATAACTTTTATAAGTATGGAACATTTGTTGGTACACAAGCATCACCCAATGAAGGTTCCAAGATCCAACAGGATCCATTAAGATTCCTAGTCCTTCATTTATTTTTTATAACATCTAGTTATATTCATTACAATTTGTTTACATATATGCTCTCTTGCTTCTGGTAAAGCGTTTTATTCTACAGAAAAAAGGATTACGTTCAAACATGAGTGAAATTACGATGTAGTAAAGTAAAAGATATTCCTGCCTTAAATGCAACTCTTAATGTTGACTAATAAAACTAACGAGTGTATGAATTGTCAATTCCAAGTGAATGTTTATAACTAGATATATCATAGATAGTTAATTACAACCACCGTCTTTATTGCTATACAGAATTATTTAATCACAATGTTTGTTATATTAATTACACAAATTATACAGATTTCCATATTTATGTCATGGGATGTAAAGAACTTTAATGTTGGAATAACAATATTTTTATTTAAATAACAAAGTTCCTTATGGACAATTCTTGCACAGTTATGTACATCTTTGTTATAGTTAGTCATTCTTCAGAATATTGATTTTAATTTATACTGTGAGACATATGGAATCCTTCATGACAATGGATTTGTAATATAACATTTGTCGTATAATTATAAAGTGTCTTCGGTGAAAGACATTAATAATATGAAATTATCAGAAGTACAATGATAAATGCATTTTGTACAAACGAATAATAAGTGAAAATTATTCCGATGGAAAATTTTGAAACATTAATA